ATAAACGGAGAATTTCCAACACGATCGAGAAAATTTCCAAAATGATTTTGCTTCAAATATTATACTTATTGACTTGTTTGATATAAACTCTTAAAAATAAACGTCTACAATTTCATGACTAAATATTTTGGCCAAGTAAATCTAAAAAAGGAAGAGTCTTCACACGCAAAAATAGAAGGGATGGGGACAACAGTTGTGACACCCGCGACAAATGTTTCGTGGACGATTAGATCTCAAACATTGTCACAAACACTCACTTGAGATAATTAATTTGAGCATATAAGTTATTGTACTTAGTGAATGAACCTTTATGCCACTATGAAAATATAGGGTATATATTAGTACAAAAAACAAGTGTCATTATTTCAGAATCTGCACATACAATTAGCTTCAAGCGTATGGAATACTTTATGTTTAATGTCTTGAATGAAACACACATAAATATTGAGTTTACGAGGCGCATCACAGCTTCAGAAGCGTAGTATGTCGTGCCTTAACAAGCCTTATAAGTTAAAGGTTTTCGTTCAATGTAGCTTGTTCTATGAAACGCTACAGATAAGCTTCAGCTACGCCATACCTTCACGATTAATACTTGGGCTGGTATTCAGAGAAAATCAGTTTTAGCTTAGAATGGAAATTATCAAATTTTGAGTTTAGGCTACACTTTATTTATACAAGATGACTTCAAAAAGAGAAAGTAGCTCTCAATTCAATTTTTGTTGAAATAATTTTTGAACCCATTTTTATGAGTTTTTCTATACTATAGGTTAAAAATTAAGGAAGGGTCAAATTTCATTAAAAAAATTACAATAAAAAGTAAAAGAAAGTTAAAGCCGACTTCTAAGAACTAAAATTTAAGAAATTCCACATGATTAGCTACTGAAATTGAGGATAATTCTATACTTATGTCATAGCACCGCCTGCTGAAACTATTATGTATAAATTGTTACTTTTTTCAGTTCTTTGAAGGTAGTTTTTTATTAGAAGTCTAATTTTAACATTATAAAGTTTGAGTTTTAAATCGAAATTGTCTCTGAATACCGGCTTAAGTATAACACAATTTAAATTTTATTTTGTCACTCGTTATCTTTTTCACCCTTTTCTATACTTTAAATGGGTTTCATTTTTTTAGTCTTGCTTTTATTTATTTACACTGCAACAGTCTTCTGCTTCATCATAACCATACAGTCCTACCACTCTCATCACGGTAATAAATGATTTCCGTTCATTCATGCATAACACCTTAGATACATATTTAACCTAGTTTACTAACACTAACCATCCCTAATCTACTATTAAAGACTATTTTAGAATAAGACTTTCTTTTTTTTACTTGTACAGTTTAATAAATAAACACATTTATTCATTAAAATCTATTAAAGTCTACTAACGAACAAAGGTTTTTTTTATAAAATGGGAGTGACAAAACTACACACAGTCCACCTGATGGTAAGTGGATGTTGTGGCCCATAGACATCTACATTTATCCTCGATTAAGAATCAAAATGCAGTTGTGTTGTACCCCCTCAGGACTAAGATGGAATGCCTCGTTTCCAGTAAATAGCATTACTAGTTCTATAAACGCACATTACGAAACACAGCAGTATAAAGCTGCTTTTTCATGTCGGTATTCTGTGAGATCGTAATCCTACCCCGGTCGAGCCGACCCATTCGTGGTACTACTAAAACGTAGTTTTAGCATGGCTCTGCCACGGAAAAAAGTAAGACTTTCTTGAAATAAATAGCACAATTTATTATTTAAATTAAATAATAATGTCATTAACGTTACTAACACTAGGATAAGTTTTGACTGTTTACTGATACCTATGGATGAAGAATCCGAAATAAATGTTTTTCATTGATTGTTTATATAAATAAATAAATAAATGCATTCCCTCATTTTAACCTATCAAAGGCCGATGCTAAACATCGGCCTTCTCATTGACGTCTTCTATCTATGTCTATGGCCTCTTACGACACCCATGGGATGACACAATCAATTAAAAGGATCAGATTTCGGTAGAGACCGGCTATTTAGATCTGTACCATCTTTGAACAATTGTATTACAGGTCTTATATAATCATTACAGCCCTTCACAATTCTACTGCTGAACGCAGGTCTCCCCCAAGGTATGCCACAAAGCACGGTCCTGAGCCATCTGCATCCATCGACTTCCTGCATGTCTTACCAGGTCGTCACTCTATTTAGTGAGGGGACTCCATATACTTCGCATGCCGATACGAGGCTACCACTCTAGAAACTTTTATGCCTATCGGTTATCGGTTCTTCGAGCTACAGGTCTTATATAAAGTTGTATATAATTATTTTAAAATAAACTGGCATTCTAGCGCTAATCTAATGATATAGGAGATAAAATGCGGTTGCCAACCTGCGTGACAAGCGGGCAGCTATGCCAAATATACGAGTACCCCTTCAGCACTTTGAGGCAATCTATGGTGAAAGTCTAATTAAGAAGTGGACTTAAGACCTGAATCACTGAGTAGTTTTAATTTCGATCTTGCTCTTTGCTCAATTTATTTTATGAAAGAACATAATAATCCAATTATGTACTCATTGTACGCAGGAATTTTATCAAGGTATTGTTTTCCACCTCAAGAACACGAAAACCAAAAAGTAGGCCGTCGTGAAATATTAATTTAGCTTTTTCATTTTAATTTCCGTTGGAATATAATTTCCCTGAACAATTTGCATTTTTCCTATGGTTGAGATTTCGGCGTTCAGCCGCCAGCCAGCGGTAGCCAGCTTTTGTTTTAATAAGTTACCGTAAACGGAATGACAGTACTCGTATTTTAGTCATTTTGCTAAATCTCTCTATAAATTGTGATATCTTATGCTATGTACTAAGCACAGTCGTTGCTTTAGTCTAGAAATGGTTCACAGCTGGACATAAATCTCTTTTAAGGGACTTCTCCAATACCTCCCAGCAGTAATCAGTAACTACGGTAAGATAAGGATTTCTTATATTTATGATTAAATTGCATTTAATTTAATTGACGTCTCCGTGGCGCAGTGGTTTAGAAATGAATTGAGAAGCTGAGAGCCGCTCGTTCGAATCCCGCACGGAAAAGTTTGTGTATTATACCTACAGATAATAGTTCTGTGTCTGGATATTTGTTTTAGTGAAATTTATGTTTGTAAACTGCCTCCACAATACATTAGAAAATCCTAGGTGTGTGTGACCTACGATTAAAAAAATGGAAAATAAAGATAAATTTTTACATTTAATTCCCGACATTTCGAGTGTTTAGCAATATCCATGGTCACTCATGGTCACGGTCAAAACCTATTCACAAACAAAAGTCTATTCACTCGAAATTAGTCCCCGTAGCATTTTCTTTTGATTGTCGGTAGGGGTAGAGGGTCGATTAATTGGCAGTGCAACATACATATGTTAAGATGTCTTTGTATTTTAGTAGAATGTAAAAAAATAAAAGAAGTAATGAGGCTGACAAAGTAGCGCACAGTCCACCTGGTGGTAAGTGGATGCTGTAGCCCATAGCGTTACATAAAGCTTCTATCTTACACTGGTATTTTGTGAGAACATGGCTCTTCCCGATCCCGGTTACGGTTGTTATAACAAAAAAAAATATTGCATGATCTTTTTGTTTGAATATTGCACGAATCATTTCAAAAAATATGTATGATATATTAATATGTACGCTAAATATGTATGATTCACTTGTCTGAAAATTAGCTGCAAAAAGTAATTAATAAACAATACCTATATGGAACTAACAAGTACTTACAAAACTAATCTCGTATTAAGCTCCAGGGATAATTCTAAATGCTAGTAGTTAACTATATAATCAAACTTTAGAATATTTCTTATGTTTCAAGGTATTTTAGTTAGAAAATCTTATTAATATTTAAACCGATTTCAGAAAGGATGTTATTAACTTGTATAGAATGGAATAGAATAAATTTGCAACTTGAAACTATACAATTTGGCATGAGATGGTGCTACAACTTTATTAGACTAGTATTTTGTATTGTTCTGTAAGCAAACAGGCTAATTTTAAACAATATGTACTTAACTAACCTAACATTACATTAATTATAAAATTTCTTTTAAATTAAAAAAACACTTGTTATGTAAATTCAGTTAATAAAGTTTTAAAACTTGTTTCCTTTTAATTTTTAACACATATACAGTTTTTCTATAAATATAAATATGATAAGGATGTTGGTGTAATAGGTTGAAATATTGAGTTCTTTGCTGTGTAGTATTAATATATGTGTACTTTTGAAAATATTCTGGGTGCCGTTTTACAAAATAGCAAACTTGTCTTATATACATACATACACGGTAAAAAAAAATTTTATATTTTTTAAATAATAGTTTGCAACTATCTAAAAGCCATACGATAACGATGGATCTAATGCACTTTTTTGTAAAATGAATGCGCTTTGAAGTTCCAATGAGGATCGCCAGATTACGATGCCATAGCTGTACACCGAGGACACGTAGCCGTGATAGGCGAGTGGCGCGGCCTCTGTAGACACCGTTTCAAAGCGTTTTAATGCGAATACATTACGTCCAATTTATTGCAAATGACGTCATTATGTGCCTTCCAATTTAAATTTTTACAAATATTTACTATGCTTGTACTTTTTATTAACCGTAAGTTGATTATGTCAAATATAAAACTTTTAAGCTGAGACTTAATTGTTTATTCCGGCAACGGACTTTACCAGCAGATAACAAACCTACAACTACATCTACACTCCATAACTGGTGACCGCGACGTGATCGACACTGGATACTACCGACATTGTATTGCTATAAATATTCACTTTATACTATACGAAATAGTAAGGTGAACACCGTGTAGCGTTACATGACAGCAAGATTACCTCTTATTGAAATCTTAATACATATATTTCGCAATTCCAAGTTAATAAAAATCATGTACTAGCAATGATCGGACTATGTTTATTCCGTGTTATCGAAATTAATAAATCTTTCATTATTTAGTTCATGTTAAAAGTTAGCCATAGGGAAGAGTGTATAAGATTTGCCGTGGTGGGGGAGGGCGATGGTGCGGGCGTGGCCGGAGCAGTGTTGCAGCCCTGCGGCATGCGCCCCGAATCATTAAGTAGCAATGACGAAGACGACGGAATGCGGCGCCGGGATAAGAGTCCACCATTACGGTCAAAACCGTTGTCGGAATTCCCTGGGCAGTACTTGATGGTGTGCGCGTGGTCGACAGTTGATAATTAGTTGCTAAAAACTTTCACAAGTTCCACAAGGCTATGCTAATACCAACGCTGTTTTTTCTGTATGTCAATGATATGTTAAAAACCGGTAAAATTCTTTTTTATGAGTATGAGAGCACTGGTGATGTTCTATACACCGGCCGTGCCAATATGTCTTGGTAAAACGTCGCCGAGTACTGGGACAAACTTGTGTCTGAAGTCGAGTCTTTGCTGAAAAATTTCGGATTGGGGGCGACTAAATCTAGTTCAGTTTAATCTTTAGAAGATGCAAGTTTGCCCGTTTACCACTTAAAAGAACCCCGTTGTCGGAACTCCTCAGTTTCAAGGCACTCCCCTCGTACCCTCAGCCATCTATCGAAATCCTCGGCATCGACATATCGAGTGACGTGCAGTTTCGTGGTTACCTGAAAGAGAAGGCCAAATTGGCCTCTAAAAGGCATGGCATGCTCAGCAAAGTGGGACAGTATTTCATGTCAGTACACCGCCTGCAACTTTACAAGGTGCAGGTTCGGCCTCACATGAAATACTATTCCTATCTCTAGGCGGGGGCTCCTCAGTGCCAGCTCCTTTCACTAGACCGCATTCAGCGCAGAGCGGCTCGAATCATCGACGACCGACTCCTTCCGATCGGCTCAATTCACTGACGCTGTGAAGAGTTGTTGCATCTCTTTGCATTTTCAAGGAATTGTTCGGATTAATCTCAGCCGCCAAATTTCATGAACGCACATCGCGGCAAAACTCACGATACTATTCACACCATCTGAATACTTGGCGGTCCACCACTGTACGTTTTACTAGGAGTTTTCTTCGCATAAGACCTCCCTGTGGAATAGCTTACCACCTGCGAGTTAGCCAGACCGATACGACTTAGGTACCTTCAAGAAAAGAGCTTACTCTTTTCCTAAAGGCTGGCAATGGACCTGCAAATCCCCTGGTGTTGCAGTTGTTCGTGAGCGGTGGTAGTCACCATCAGGTGAGACGTATGCTCGTTTGCCCCCTATTCTAAAAAAAACACCAAGAATAAAAATTTTCCAGTGCGACACTTGATAGCACAAACTGACACATGTTAACAATTGAATAAAACTATTATTTATAAAAATCCGTAAATAATAGTTTTATTCAATGTGTAGTGTTCGCGTAAATTTAAGAAATCATTACGTGTTAACAAATTTCTTTTAAACAAAAAATCCAAAATGGCAAAGCTTACATAAAAGACATACTTAACAGATGTTGTCTTATTTGTTTAAAACTGGTTGCAGCTTTGTGTAGGCGGCAGCTTCAAATATGTTAATAATCAACCGTTCGTTACTTACTCTAATGTTTTATCAAAATCGTTTTTTATCATTCATCTTCAACAATTTTATTACTTGTAATAAAATTGTTGAAGACAACAACTTTTTGTACAAGTTTTTGTACTTGTTTTATATGAAATATACATTATGTAATATTTTTAATACAAACCAGGTGTATTAAGCATTGCAACGTTTATTAAAGGAATACGAAAGTTTTTTCGGAATTTTAATGAAGCCAGTCGACACTTCTGTTATTGAATAGGTCGCTACTATTAAATACAGAGATATTTTGTGACCTTTTGAAACCTTGTAATGGTATTGAAGGGTAAGAAAGATATAAATCGATAATTATTAGGATCAGTTATCACATTCCGGGATATTTATTATTATTTTATCATTTTTTAAAAAGTCTTCAAACTATGTTTAATCACATTCGATTCAGCCATTTCAAGGATTAACCCGTTCAGAAAAACACACAGACATAAATTTTAAAAATGTTTATTAATGCAAATAGCTTTTTGAACTTAATGGAAGTCAGTTATTTCAATATTACAGGCGGCCATTCACAACGCAGACTAACTGCACAGGAAAGTGTGCACAAGCACAGGTGCACTTTCTGTTCGATCACTCTCATAATTCGATTGGGTAGCAATCTAATACGACCGGAGAGAGATCAGGCGCGGGAAAAACGGCTTTACGTTCTTTCCGAGGCACTGGGGTGAAACACCGTCAATTTCCCGGTTCCGTCCTGGTACTGAGACTTTCTTGACAGAAAAGCCAAATTTCTGATTTTGATGCAACCCGGGACTTAAACTTGGGACCTAACTAATGGCGTCGTAAGAGAAGCAAATTCTCCAGTAATTTTAAAATAGACAATATTTAATTTAAAACGTACTGTTGTGTGTATAAGCTTGGACTACATTCACTTATTCTCCGCCGATTTTTCAAAGCTTTATTATAACAAAATAATATTTTGTTTCTTTTCGATTAACTCCTTTGGCTAGGTAAAATAGAGATAAATATAAAAATGAATAGGTACTACATTTCACGCAGGAGTTTTGTCTTGGGTTAAGAATTGTTTCCCGTATTTAAAACAACGAAAACACGAGCTTTTGAGCTGAAATTTTAATTAAACTTTTGTTTAATTTGCAATGGAAATTATTCCGCTGAATAATCGCCATATTTTTTGCTATATCTGAAAATCTCTCTTTTTGTAAATGTGAGTTGACGTGTAGTAGATAACATTGACTATTTACACTGTTTGTAATTTGACTATAGTAAGTATTCAGGATAATTTTTTTTTCAATAGGGACACTCGAACTTTGACCGGGTTCATTTTTTACGTGGTAGAGCCACGCTGCAGCTATATTGTAACTGCAGCAGGAATAGGTCAGTTCAACTGGGGCAGGACACACAAAACAGAATACTAGCAAAAATAGCAGCGTAATGCTGCTGTGTTTTCTATGGTGAGTGTAGAGAACCGAAGACACTTTTCACTGGAATCTAGGCATTCCATCTTAGTCCTCAGATGTGACAACGCATTTGGATTTTGATTCTTAATTGAGGATATATATGGATGTCTACGGGCCACAACATTCACTTACGATCAGGTGCTCGTTTGTCACCAAATGCTATAAAAAAGCGCATAGCGGTTATGTGGGTACAGCGATAGCTGCCTAATTATTGTTTACCTATGAAATTGCCGTTTTATATGAAATTAAATGTGTAAAATTTTAAATACGTAGTAGAGCCATGCTGCAGTTTATTAGTAGTATAGTTGTAGCACGAATTGGTCGGCTCAACCGGGGATGTACCACGCTCTCACAGAATACAAGCGTAAAATAGTAGCTTAATGTTGCTGTGTTTCATATGATGAGTATAGAGAACCGGAGACCCATTTTACTGGAAATGAGGCATTCCATCTTAGTCGTCACGGGTGACAACGCATCTGCATTTTATTTCGTAATCGAGGATACGAGGAGGATCGAGGATACGAGGAGGTGAGGATGGGGAGGGGTAGGTTTCTATGGGCCACACGAACAGACAACAAGTCGATGACTCTTGACCACAGCATCCAGTTACCATCAGATGAATTGTGTGCTCGTTTTTGACCCTTCAAAAATTAATTTAAAGTGAATAAAAATTGTAAATTCATTTTAGAGTTCATGTTTTGTGTATAACAAATTATGGAAGGAAGCCGATAATAAATTAATTTTTTTTGTAGAAAATTTTGTATACACTGAAAAAAATATTATTTAATTATTATAGAAATACATATTTATACATATATATATATATATATATATATATATATATATATATATATATATATATATATATTATTTCTATATGTATGAAGCTAAAGTAGTTTTACTTCAGTCGTGTGGTCACGTTTTTTTTTTTCTTGAACTGGACCTTTGAAGTATATAACCCTATTTACCCTATTTTATAAAACAACGACGACGCAGACATTGCGTAACATAAATACAAAAAATGTATGTAACGAAAACACTCTTTTTTTTGTAATCGGCTCTAAAGGTAACATTTTCTTATTAGTTACTTTGATTCAAAAGGTTGTGTTTTAGTACTTTACTTACATTAATAAGTGACATCACGATGTTTTTCTTCGTGCCAAAAACTTTTTTCGATCACTTATAAAGCTTCTGTAATTAAATGCGTTCCTTTACTTTGTAACTGCTGTATTTTCTTCAACTAACGACTTCTTCTGAGAGTTTGATGAAATTTCCCAAACTTTGAAAGTGACGAATCGATATTAAGAAGTGTAATGTTACGAGAGCGACAAATTATTTTTTTCAGGAATCATTAGAACCAGTAATGATAAAATTTAGAAAATAATTAAATTTTTATGGCTTCCAAATTGCAATATGGTCTAAATCAGCCATTAATACATTATGATATTTTTTTATATTTACACAAGTACTATAGATTAGAATAAATATCATTACAAACTTTATCATGTTCAATATAAAATATATACAATATTAAAAACTTTAATAAAAAATAAAACTAAAAACCTAAATTATCACATAGTCCTTCTCCCCGTGGTATAGTGCTAAAAACGCTGGCTGCGTTTCCTCGCTGAATGGCTGGCTATACTTAGTCTTGAGCGAGAAAAAACAAACCCTTTTATCACCAGCAGCTACGATCAGTAGAGGTACTAATAGGAATCATACCACACGTGGACTCCACGGACCAATCTCTACAGCAAATGGCGCAAATATGTATTCATCTCTCAGATACTAATATTTGCGCCATTTTCTTAGTTGTTATGTATATAAATTATTTTTAATTTAAATTAATTTATTGTATTGTATTTGAAATGTCTTACTTTTACGCTATTGAAGATAAATTGACGCCAGCTTTATCAATAATTCATGACATACACATCTTATGTGCTTTCTTCAGAATTTACATCGCATCATCAATTATTTGGACATTTTCTATTGTCGATCGTCTTTTAAATTAATGATCCGACATAACGAAGATATCCACATCCAACCTTTAAGGTTTTGAAGAGTTAACAAAACTAAATTTACGGATTATAATATTTTATTTCAGCTTACAACTCGCAGCATCAAAGTGTAGCGGTGACCGTTATTGCGCATAATTGGCCATCTTGCGCATGATTGGCTGTGCGTATCGTTCGCACGTGCTGATTGGCTCTCCAGTCGCATTCCGCTCTCGTACTGAC